AAAAATTATGAGAAAAAATGCTGAGTATTGCAAAATGCCAAAACGGGAATACACAATCAAAAAACACTATGCAACTATATTTTATTATAACACACAATGCCAAACAAGCCGACAACCAACTCGTTCTTCCGCTCCATGCCCGTTTCCCTTTTTTTTTAAAGACAGGTCACTCCAGTCAATCCCAGGGCACGCTGTCTGCTTTATTAGGGTTGGGCATGTGCATTTTTATTATCATTATCATTATTATTATCATCATTATTATTATTATCATTATTATCATTATTATTATTATTATTATTATTATTATTATTATTATTATTATTATTATTATTATTATCATTATTATTATTATTATTAATATTATCATTATTATTATTATTATTATTATTATTATTATCATTATCATTATTATTATTGTTGTTGTTGTTGTTGTTGTTGTTGTTATTCATTCATTCATTCCTTCTTTTTCTTGTCGGCTTAGTCCCTTTATTTTTCCCTTTATTTATTTTTGTGTCTTTGGACTGTGGGGGAAACCGGAGCACTCGGAGGAAACCCACGCGAAGGCAGGGAGAACATGCAAACTCCACACAGAAACGCCAACTGAGCTGAGGTTCGAACCAGCGACCTTCTTGCTGTGAGGCGACAGCACTACCTACTGCGCCACTGCCTCGCCCGTTATTATTATTATTATTATTATTATTATTATTATTATCATCATTATTTGTTCGCATGTTTCCTCTACGGGCTCCGGTTTCCCCCACAGTCCAAAGACATGCGCTATGGGTGAATTGAAAAAACTAAATTGGCTGTAGTGTATGTGTGTGTGAATGAGTGTGTATGGGTGTTTCCCAGTGATGGGTTACAGCTAGAAGGGCATCTGCTGCATAAAACATATGCTGGATAAGTTGGCAGTTGATTACGCTGTGGCGACCCCTGATTAATAAAGGGACTAAGTCGAAAAGACAATAAATGAATGAATTATTATTATTATTTAGTTTTATAGTTAAGTTTTAATATTTTGTTATTAGTTTTTTTAGTTTTTGATTTAATAACACAACACCAATCCTACATGTTGGACTTTCCTCAGGATGTAAAAAAATTCAAAATGTAAAAAAAAAAAAATCTACATTTTCTTCAAGGTCTAAATTGTATTTATTAATTTATTTATTTATTGCTCATATGATTTATTATTTTGTTTTCATTTTAAACTTGGAAAAAACACTTACTCATAGCCTTTTTTCCTACGTCATTTTCCTTTCTTAAAAACAGACGCATCTCTGTGTTGTTCTAAACCCACTTTTAAACTCATTTAAATATCCTTTAAGCAAGATAAATATCCCTAAGAAGAAAAACTGCATACGGCATTATGGCTCATTTTCACAGAATTTATCTTTAATATAAGAGTATTTTGCCTTGAGGCACTTCCATATTTTTCCCCCTACGTCTTTTAAACACAAGCAGGTGGAAAACTAATCATAAGAAAACAAAATACATTCATATCCAAGATACATTGTCTGAAATCAAGCCTTATTACCTTTCGCACTTTTGCTTATCAGGTAAATGCATCTCATTTTAAGGCCATTTCCAGGAGCTGTTTTGGTAACGCTTTATTTGAAGGGGTGCTTATAAAACTGTCATGAAACCTTAAAGCTGCGTTCACATTAGTGGCAAAGCGACCAGCGACCATTTATTTCAGCAGAGAGTGAGTGACTTCAGTTGACCTCTGTCTGCACGAGCATCAGCGACCGTTGGGCTTGACGAGCGAAGACGCGACAGTTGAGAATCCTTTAACTTTATGCAAACGAAGAGCAAGTTTATTAAGCAACAGCTTATAGGAGCTCCAGTAGAGCTCACGTGATCCTCTCTCAGCTCCTGCAGAGGTCGATTGTATTCTCCATGCTGTAGACCTACACAGACCTGCATTTGCAGCAGATAAATAGCCGCAATGACAGAGAACAGACTTTTTTCTTGATAATCTTTATAATCAAGCATTTTATGTACTAATCCCACTCATATTTAATGTTTTCTGTAAACAATATTTACTTTCAGCGGCATGTAAAGTCAATCGCTCTCTGTAAATATCAACGTAAACATAAGCAACCTCAAGGTGGGAATGCCCACTAACAGCTTCAGTCACTATCCAAATAATAATGTTTATAATATTTATTTTTGTTTTTAATACATTTATTGCAAAAAAAGTTTATTAATTAAATTAGGCTTAATTATAAAATTATTAATTAATTAAAAGGCTTAAATATAAAGTTTAGTAATTATTAATTAAAAGGATAAATGCTGTATTGGCAGTCAAACATGATTGTTATGAGGCATTATAATCGGGACATGAATATGTTTCTGATCATGTTTTCCGTGGAACAAACTGTGCTTATCATTAGAATGTCGCATTAAAAGTGTCATTAGTCTGACAAATATATATTAATGACGGTGTTATAAAAGTCATGACACATTTTTAACGGCTTCTTGACAATCATGTTTATGACAGATTTATGACAAGCTGCTGTTGTCAATTAATAAAATAATAAATAAATAAAACAATTAATAATTAATTATAATAATAATAATATTGTTTATAATATTTATTTTTTGTTTTTGATACATTTATTTTTTTAACAGATTTATTAACTTTTTTGTGTTTTTTACTTTATTGCAAAAAAGTTTATTAATTAAATTAGGCTTAAATATAAAATTTCATAATTAAATATTTAATAGGATAACTGTTGTATTGGCAGTTAGCTAAAAAATACTTTCGCTTAGTTATGACATTGTAAATGCAAAGATGACTTTGTTTGTTATGACAACTTGACATAAACAAATACATCACAAACAGTTTTTGTCTTTGTCATGACAATTTGACAATACCAACACAAGTTGTCATAAATCTATCATAAACATGATTGTCATGAGGCCATTATAATCAGGTCATGAATATGTTTCTAATCATGTTTTCAGTGGAACAAAATTTGTTTGTCATCAAAATGTCTCATTAAAAGTCTCATTACTCTGACAAGTCATTTTAAAGAACATTGTTAATATTTAGTGATATTTTAATGACAAATTCAGCTTGCTCCACTGTAGCTAAGGACAAAAAATATATTAATGACGCTGTTAAAAAATTCATGACACCATTCTAATGGCTTTTTGACAATCATGTTTATGAAAGGTTTATGACAAGCTGCTGTTGTCAATTAATAACATAATAAATAAATAAAATTATTAATAATTAATAATAATAACATTGTTTATAATATTTATTTTGTTTTAAAACATTTATTTATTTATTTATTTATTTATTATAGATTTGTTAACTTTTTTGTGTTTGTTATTTTATAGATTTATGATAAAATGTTGTTGTCACGTTTTCATGACAACAGGTTGCAATGTATTCTTTAATGTTCAGTTGTCATAACAAACAATGTCATCTTTGCATTTAAAATGTCTTGTCTGATTGAATGACATAACAACAGTTCATTCACATTTATAACATGATTATAAAGGTTTAATGACAGTCTTATGAACACCCCTTCAAGTAAAGTGTTACCACTGTTTTAGCATGCACAGAACCTGCGAGAAGTTCTCATTGCATAAAGTGCTTAGTCCCAGTTTCAGTGTTAGCATGCATGCGTTAGCTGTCAGACCTGTGAACACGTACTCGAGAAATAATTTGCAGATACGATTCACCTTTATCTCTGTACGCACATTAACTCACACTCACCGCTCTTAACACACATATTTGTGATCGCTGGACTAGCATACAGGCCAGCGACAGGGCAAAAACACACACTGTGTCTGGCAGACGATTAACATTCACACACACACACAAATGCGCAGTGTACGGTTACGTCTGGATTCAGCGGGACACAGCTGTACGCTTTTGGATCATGCAAATGTAGTTCTGGCGCAAGTATTTATTCCCTCGGTGTCGTCATGCATAATGCAGGAAATGTGCTGTTGTTCCAGTTTGAGCTGTTTGCAGCTGGATCAGACGTGTATTAATTATTGAAATAATCCAAATATTGACTGAAATCGTGATGTAACTGCGTATTCATATTGCCGGATGAATATTAAACCATTTTAAAACATTTTTAAATAATAAAGTTATCATTAAACATTTGTACTCAAATATATTTTTGTAACTGTACAGTATATACTATACTACATAGGCTGAATACTATCCTGCATGATATTTAGTAAAATATTGTGCACTGTTATCATGACAAAGACAAAATAAATTAGTTATTAGGAATTAGTTATTAAAGGGCACCTACAGTATGATGAAAATCATCTTTTCTAAGCTGTTTGGACTGAACTATGTGTAGGTATAGTGTGTCCACAGTCAATAGTTTGATTGTGGTCTTCACATGTCTGTACTGCATTTCAATAATTCCACTAAAATCAGCATACTCCACATCTTAATCCGAATTCTGTTTAGTTCAATTTTTACCTTAATCGAATTAAATTGATTTAAAAAATCACTGTTTACAAGGTAGACTCTTAATTAGAGTAGTGTCTTAATCGTATTAATTATTTTTGAATTATTTCAATTATAATTTTTTATTATTCACATTAAATTATTATTGGTGTCCATGTAAACATACTCGCATCAGCGTACGTTAATCGCAACGAATGCCTTAAATGAAACTAATATTTGAAATTTGGAAAAAAAAAAATGTGATAATACTTTTATAGAAAAGAACGAATATTAAAAATTTACTGAAAGCCAAAAAACTCTTAATTTTTATATTTAAATTTAATTTAATATATTTTTTATTTAATATATTTACATTTTTTAATTTTTTATTTAAATCTTTATTTAATCTTAATTTAAATCCCAAGTATTCCTATATATTAAGTGCACTCGTAAAGAATCTTTTAGCAGTGCCCTTGCAATGCCCCAAACGCATGAGAATGTATTGAGATTATTTTCATAAATATTGCTGAATGATTTATATCTGATGAGTTTTTGTGATTTGTTTTTTCTACAGAGACAAGACCCAGTGGCCTGGGGACCAGAGTTTGCCAATATGTCTCGTGATGTGCTGAATATCCGCTACACCCTCCTGCCATACTTGTACACCCTGATGTATGAAGCCCACACCAAGGGGACCACTGTGGTCAGACCAATGCTGCACGAGTGAGTGTCAATACTCAATACTTATATACTTACAGCAAATTTACGCAGCAGATACCCTTCCAGCTGTAACCCATCACTGGGAAACACCCATACAGTCATTCACACACACACACACACACTACGAACAATTTAGCTTACCCAATTCCCCTATACCACATGTTTTTGGACTTTGGGGGAAACCGTAGCACCCGGAGGAAACCCACGCCAACACCAGGAGAACATGCAAACTCCACACAGAAATGCCAACAGACCAAGCCAGCAACCTTCTTGCTGTGAGGCAATTGTGCTACCCACTGTGCCACTGTGCTGCATTTTAATCAATAAACCTAGTTAAATTTGCATATAACAAACATTCTATTAACATTAGTTGAACAACATTTTGATTTTAGCTGAGCGAATGTTCGATTAGCCACCAAAATATAAACTAGAAGTAAACGATCTTCCGTATTTGTGAACTATCCCTTTAAGACCTTTATTCACGTTCTGCTCCTCTCTTTCCCCTCCAAATATATCTTCATTACACCATCTTTTCTTTCCGACACTATTTTCAGCCCATCCTCGCGCTTCAATTACATCTCGCCCCAAAGCATCATGGGAATGACTAATCAGAAGTTGGGGCCAAATCTGTGCATTGGTCTTATATTCCAGTATCTAATGATTTTCCTTTATCCTGCTTTGATATCGCTGCTCTTCACTTTCCTGTTGTCCTGTTTCACCTTCCTCTTCCACTCTGTTTTTAGCAGCCTGATCTATTGGATTTATTGGTTCTTTGTGTGTTGTCAATTCATTCTGTACAACTCTCTCTTTAACTCTCTGTTTTCTGCTTTTCTATCATGATTGTACAGTGTTGAATAGTTCATGTTCTCAGTGCTGTTTTTGTACCATAGGTTTGTCAATGATGAAAAGACATGGGACATTGATAGGCAGTTCCTCTGGGGTTCTGCTCTTCTGATCACACCTGCTTTGGAAGAGGTATGTTTATAGAGGTTGTGCATGTGCTTTATACACTTGAAGTCAGAATTATCAGCCCTGCTGAACTTTTAACCCCCTTGTATATTTTTCCTCCAATTTCTGTTTAACAGAAATAACTTTTTTTCGTTATACAATAACTTGCCTAATTACCCTAACCTGCCTAGTTAACCTAGTTAAACCTTTAAATGTCACTTTAAGCTGTATAGAAGTATCTTTAAAATATCTAGTCAAATATTATTTACTGTCATCATGGTAAAGATAAAATAAATCAGTTATTAGAGATGAGTTATTAAAATTATTATGTTTAGAAATGTGTTGAAAATATCTGTTCTCCGTTAAATAGAAATTGGGGAAAAAATACACGAGCAGTCTAATAACTCAGGAGGGCAAATAATTCTGACTTTAACTGTGTATATATAATTGACTTATTGGGTATGGATGTGTTAGTTATATTCTATAAAGCAATGATAAAATCTCCTTCATATTTCACATAAAACTAAAGTCGTTCAAATTTGGTTGAACTCATTTATTTATTTGTTTGTTTGTTTTTTGTTTATTTTTTTTTAAATGGCCAAATGACAAATCTTTTAAACATCAATATTTTGTTGACTAAAATGAATATAAACATGCCTCATAACATGGCATCTTTTGCACAAAGTTGTTGTAATATTTTAAGTAATAATATATTATTATATAATTAACATTTAGTGGTTTACAACAGTGTTGTATTAGTTAATGTTGATGTTTTTACAAACATAAACTATCAATAAATAATTATTTATTATATAATTAATATATTTATTACAGTGCATCTTTGTTAGCATTAGTTAATGAAAATAAAGTTGTTCATTATTAGTTCATGGTAACTGAAAATGCGTTAACTAATTCTAATAAGCATTAATTTGGATTTTAATAATGAAGTAATAAATGCCATGCAAGTATTGTTCATTAAAAACTCTTTTATCCGACATGTTTTTAATTCTTCACTGTATCAGGCTATGCTGAAATGCTCATGAGTCAAACATTAATACTTTGTGAGTAAATACATTATTATTATTATTATTATTATTATTATTATTATTATTATTATTATTATTATTATTATTATTTGCATTACTATTTGCATTAATATTATTATTATTATTAATTGCATTATTTTTATTAGTAGTAGTAGTAGTATTATTATTATCATCATCATCATCATTATTATTATTTGCAATGTTATTTGCATCATTATTATTATTTGCATTATTGTTTGTATTAGTATTATTATTTGCATTATTGTTGTTGTAATATAATACTACTACTATTACTACTACTACTACTAATAATAATAATAACAATAATAATAATAAAGTAGTAGTAGTATTGTAAAGAATTTTTAATAATATAATTAATGTTTTTTATTGAAAAAAGTAATTCTTATAATAAATGTACAAAAAGGGTAAAATCTTAATATTATTATTGATAGAAATTTTAATACATAATAATTAATATAATATTAAGGGAAATAATAATTTATAGCACTACATTTTTATAGTATATAGAATGACTTTAATATTAGCCTCTTAATAGTAGGTAAGACAGGAATACAAGGGTACATACATGAAAGCTAGACACAAATCAAAACAAAAACAAAACAAAGCCAAATTAAAACAAAACTAAGAAATATGTGTAAATTAATAATGTAATATGTCAGTCTACCGACAGATTGAAGGTTGTGTTTTCCATGTTGTCATTTATTAATAGTCTCATTGATTTTGTTTTCTGAAGGGCGTCACTGTGGTCAAGGGATACCTGCCAAAAACCCGCTGGTACGATTACCACACGGTAAGCATTTTATTACTGTGCAAGTAAGCATTTCATTAGCACGTTTTAATAGCATGTAAATTAAACAACCAGTCACCGAAGACATCTTAACAATATAAGTATCTGTTCTTTTCTCTGTCTGTGTGATTTACATCATTCAGAATGAAGTTGTGGAAGGGCAAGGACAGTTTGTGGATATGGACACACCTTTAGACAAAATTAACCTGCATGTGAGAGGACGATACATCATTCCCTATCAGAATCCAGAGAGAAACACACAACTAAGGTAAAATGGACAGCTTCCTACACTTTCTAAGTCTGTTTTTCCAGTTTCATTTAGATTTAGCAGATGATTTTATCCAAAACGACTTACAATTGAGGAGGCATTCAGCGATTCAGCGAAGAGACAATATACACAAGAAATGCGGAACTGTTAGTGCTCAGAAAATTAAGTTTAATTGAAATTTTTTATTAATTTTGACCCGTTTAACAGTCATCATAATCCTAAATCCTTAAGCAGGGCTTGAAATTAACCTTTTAGCTTGGTAGCACCGGTACTCTTAACCTTTAAAAATTAAGGCGCATCAGCCAAAATTTAGTCGCACCCACCAATTATAAGCAACGTTACTACAAGTTTTATACAAACATATTTATTGCATTTGAAATCAACACTAATCAAACTAATAAGCCAATACACACACACATATATATATATATATATATATATATATATATATATATATATATATATATATATATATATATATATATATATATATAAATATATATA